GCCAGGCAGTTCAGGCTGGCCACGTGGGCCCTCAGCTTGGGCGCCTGCTCGCCGAACTCGCGGTGGAAGCGCTTCATCCCCTGGCGCACCTTTTGGACCACGAAGGCCAGGTCCCTGGGGGAGATGGAGAGTCAGCCGCGAGGAGACTAGCTTTTGAGCGCTGCCCAAATCAAACAAAACAGGACCTAAACATGACCTCAATATGATCCATACTGTCCCAGAAAGGTCTATTTTCAGAAGCATAAGATTTTTTTTATATCTTACTCATCTTCTTCTTCATCAGAGGAAGTATCGTACATTTCTGCAGGGAAAGACAATACAGCGCATAAATATATAGGAGAGACTATTGAATTGTGTGCGCTGATGAGTTCAGGGTGAGTGTGAGAGGAGAGGGACAGCAGTGACACTAGTAGTGTCTACAGTACAGTCAGGTGTGACAGTGTGTGTGTGCTGGTGAGCTCAGGGTGAGTGCGAGAGGAGAGGGACAGCAGTGACACTAGTAGTGTCTACAGTACAGTCAGGTGTGACAGTGTGTGTGTGCTGGTGAGTTCAGGGTGAGTGTGAGAGGAGAGGGACAGCAGTGACACTAGTAGTGTCTACAGTACAGTCAGGTGTGACAGTGTGTGTGTGCTGGGGAGTTCAAGGTGATGGCAAAAGTACTGATGAACTGCACTATTACTTTGTAACACAACTACCAACTGAATGTGTACTAGAATAGACCCCATTCTAGAGCTGGTATATTCTAAAGCATGTTTAAGAGGTTCATTAAAATGTACTTATGGGTTCTGTTTTTCCTTGGAACTGAAAACAATCCAAAAATAAGAGATGAAAGCATTGTGAGATGAAACAGAAAAGCAATAGTAATTCATAGATCTCCTGAAATTAGCTTAACCTTTTTTCCGGTTACCCCATGTCCGAGAGGGAGACGCATCTGTGCTAAAGCAAGCGTGAAAGTTTGAGTTCAGCATGTGAATTCAGCAGGAGTTCACAGCTCCTACCACTATGGTACAGAGTAACAGACAGGTTCTGCTAGCAGACTCCATCAGCACCAACTGCTGTGCTAGCTTCAGTAAAGGGGGCTTGTCTGAAGCAGCTGAAGGTGGAGGCTCAAGGAGGTTCAGTAACCTGCTCGGGGGTTGTAGATCTAAATGCTGTCCCTCCATGTCAGAATTGTGAATGAATGTTTCAGGTGTAGCGAATTTTGAGGACTCTGTCTCGGTATGTTTCTTGTTTCTCTTGCTCTGTCTATATACTGTGGAGTGTTAACCATGGAGACTCTGTCCATGTACAGTACTCTGCAGGCTGTTGTGGACAGCCCTTCTGAATATGCAGGTTGGGAATATTCAGGACACAGCGTGACTAACTCATGAGCAGGTACTGTACAGTATGTGTGTGGAAAGCCTCATGGCAGATGAGAAGAGCCACTGATTTTCTCTAACCCCACAGACAGGCAGATCTGCGGATTTCAGTCTGCACACGTGTGTGTGTGTGTGTGTGTGTGTGTGTTCTGTCTCTGTACCTGGGCTTGTGTTAATGTGTGTGTGTGTGTTCTGTCTCTCTGTACCTGGGCTTGTGTTAGTGTGTGTGTGTTCTGTCTATGTCCCTGGGATTTTGTCAGTGTGTGTGTGTGTCAGTTGACTCACGTTCCTCTGTGCTCCAGCTTCTTTGCAGACTCTGGCAGTCCTGCAGGAAAAAACAAAACAAAACGGGATTAAAAAGACGGCAAGGACACACCACCAGTCATCTGACTGTCAGGGATTAGAGGCATCAGAACCAGGAAAAGGGACAAATGATCTGCAAATGATAGCCAATCATCTCACTCCCTCTTGTCACTGGGCGGTATAAGATGGAAAAGGAGTGGCGCTGATCTCTTACAAATGTCTTCGTGTGTTCAAGGAGGAACAGAGCGATGGTTCAGAGATGAGGCTTCTCTGAACAGCCTTCCTGAATTGCAGGAAACGGAAAGATAGGCTTGCCAGGCCCCAGTGAGAGATACTGGTTTCAGCACCCTGGACAGTACCGTGTCCCGATTCTTGATAAGGTGTAATGAAACATTCAGAGTTACAGCATCCTGGACAGTGCAGTTTAAGTATAAGTTGTAAAGAAGCAGAAGACAGTACAGATCTCTTGTGTTTCAACCTCGGAAGAATAAGAATAAGAAGAGAGTGCAACGACAGGGAAGTAAAAGAAACAGTTACAGATCAGAAGACAGCCATGCTAATAAACCATCAAAGCTGACACCTGTTCATCCTGATGATAGTTGTGCTGTCCTGACTGTTCCGAGTGCCAAGCCTGGTTATAAAAGAATAAAAGACACAGGTTAACACTCCAAGAGGAACATACACAGACGGATGGGTTCACATACACACAGAAGCTGCATGGGATGACAAGGCAGATGGACTAACAGATGAGCAGCCCCACACACAGGTATTATAATGTGTGTTTCTTCAGTAAAATCTGCACATCAGCCTCTATCGGATACTATCAGAACACTATCGGATTGTGCTGTGCAATAGTTGACTATAGTGTAGACACGGTAGGATATCCACTTACGTGTTAAAAACAGGACCAGTATAAAGGTAGAGCAACTGCTGCTGTAAATCAGGGCCTAAAAACAATTTGTGTTGCAAGAAAATGCCATTATGAAAACACCATTTACAGTAAGGGACTGCCTACAACAAATTGCGTGTTTAAACGGAACTGATGTTACAACAAATGCCGTGTTGTAAGGCAGTTGAGTTTTCTTTCCTACCCTCTTGGTGTAAGTGAAGGGTACACCTGGGCGTGCAATGGATGGGTCAGCGAACTCCAGGCCTTGGCCCTGAAAAACACACAGGAACCCGCCCGAAGGGTCCCACTGAGTACCATTCACAGATAATTATAATTGATCACTGCTTACACTTATATAGTGCTTTTCTGGACACGCCACTCAAACCACTTTACAGGAAATGGGGAATCCCACTACCGCCACCAGTGTGCAGCCCCACCTGGATGATGCTCCAGTACTCTCCCCACACACCAGCTCTCAGTGGGGAGGAGAGCAGAGTGATGAAGCCAGTTCAGAGAGGGGGATTATAAGGAAGCCGTGATTGGTAAAGACCAGGGGGAAATTTGGTCAGGACACCGGGGTAACACCCCTACTCTTTTCAAGAAACACCCTGGATTTTTGATGACCACAGAGAGTCAGGACCTCAGTTTTATGTCTCATCTGAAGGACAGTGCCTGTTTACAGTACAGTGTCCCCGTCACTATACTGGGGCATTAGGACCCACACAGACCGCAGGGTGAGCGCCCCCTGCTGGCCCCACTCACACCTCTTCCAGCAGCAGCCTCAGCTTTCCCAGGAGTCTCCCATCCAGGTACTGACCAGGCTCACACCTGCTGAGCTTCAGTGGGGCTGCCAGCTGGGAGCTAAAGGGGGATATACTGTAGCTGCTGGACTATAGGGAGTGTTGGGCAGGCAGGTTTCAGCACTATGGACTGCGCAGTCAAAGTGTAAGTTGGCATGAAGGATAACGGCAGAGGTGGACAACCCTGGTCCTGGAGGGTCAACTTGTCTGGACATTTTCAGGATCTCTTGAAAGCTGCCACACCTGAAGAGCTGGGAGAAATCAGAATTCGTCCGGTTCAGCCCAGCTGGTTTTAGCATATTAAGACTACATGAAGAGCGGAGTTCGAATGAAGGCCTCAAGATACATGGGCCCTCCAGGACTGCGGCTGCAGGCCCCTGAAGAAGAGGAAGGGGTAGGCAGGTTTTGCCATGTACAGACAGCACAGCGGCAGTATAAAACGGAATGAAAAGAGGCTGCAGAGATGGAGAGAAAGACCAGGACAGATGTGCAAGCAGCCAGAGTAAAAAACAAACAAACAAACGTTTAAGCCAACACCTGTCAAGGTTTGGTGCGTTGGACAACACAATGCCAGCGTAAGGCAGAATGAGGAAGAAGAGGAAGACGGGGGTGAGGGGCAGACAAAGACAGACAGAGATATGCAGACAGCCACCCTAATAAACTGAAAAGACCGGCACCTTGGCGTTTAACGGGCTGCCTTCACGGGAGCCACCTGCCTCGTCTGGCTGCCACACCTGTTTATAACAGAGTCCAAGACACAGGTTACCATCCCACACTACAGAGAAGGACTTTTCAAAAGAGACAGAAACCGTCAGCGGGACAGGTGAGCTAGGGACCGAGCAGCCTTGAGCTGACAGGCCTTGAGCAGATACATTAATGCGTGCAGCTGCATTCCTGTTTTATCTGTAAGATTTGCTCCCTTGAAAAAAACCCCAATTGTTAGATAGATAATACTTTATTAATCCCATAGGGAAATTGATGAAAGTAGGCTGCTATAGTTCATTAATCGTTGACTGTATAGTTCCATAGGTTTCCTACTTACAGAAGCCTAATATAAATCATGGTAGTGATAGTGACAGTAGTTATTGTAAGTCAGAGTTATCTGTGTTACAGTAAAGCAGCATGATGAGCCTTCCTTTACAATAAAGGGCTGGACCTAATCCGAGCCGTGTTGAAACCTATTTTAAAGACTTCATTCTTTTTTTTTTTACCTTCTTGAGGGAAGAGAATGAATGATACGGATTTGGCCTGGAGGGGTCACAGCACGGATCCTGAAAAACACACAGGAAAACTGAAAGAGTTTCGGGAGTGTCTGAGCACCAGTCACGGAGCCGAGCGGCAGCCTTCAGCACCCTGGGCAGCTCACGGTCAGGGCCGGGTGCAGACCAGAGAGGTGGCCCCGCGTGTTATGTAGCTGGCCTGGTAATCGCCCGAGATCTGGACAGTGTTCTCCTCATGGTGGCACAGTTGTGAGCACTGCTGCCTCGCAGCACTGGGGATCTGAGTTCAACCCCTGGGGTGCTGTCTGGGTGGAGTTTGCATGTTCTCCCTGTGGTCAGGTGGGTTTCCTCCCACAGTCCAAAGACATCCTAGTAGGTTAATTGTCTTCTGGGAAAATTGGCCCTGGTGTGAGTGTGTGAGTGTGTGTCCTGAAATGGACCAGGCGTTCCATCCAGGGTGTACCCTGCCTTGTGCCTGTCGCTTGCCAGGAAGGAATGGAATGTTCTCCTAATGAAGCTATTAATTGGTTGATCCAATTCATCCATTAAGGGCTGCACTGTGGGATGAAAACCAGGAGCCAGTTTTAGCTCTGTAGGGGCCAGGGCCTGGCATACCTGGCACAGAGAGAGGGAATGACAGACACACGTGGGCTCAGCTGGACAAAGGAGCGCAATCTGACCATGTCTCTGAGGGAGACGATAATGCTGTCAAGTCCAGAGGATGACAGATCGCTGTGTTACTCCCAAGTTGTACAAGTTGTGCATCGCCATTATTGTGCCATTTTCTCTATTTTCTGCAGACTTTCCTGCCGTTCACGTCGTGTTGATTGTAGCCCCAGGGAAAGGTAAAGGTTTGGGTGGAGCCACTTCAGTCTGTCAGTCAGTGGAGACAGAGTGCAGCGCTAGCAGATGCAGAAAACCGCTGTTTCTGGACAGGTCAGGCTTCATTCCAGGAGAAATATTGAAGGGAGTAACACGGCGATTTGGCTGGGTGTGAGAAAGAGGGAGTAAGTGGGCGAGATGATAGAGCACAGGAGAACCGAGGACAGAGCAAGTGTGGACGGGCTACACTAGCTATTTCTTTGCACTATTGAAGTGTATCGAAGGGGTTTACCAGTTTACCATGGGAGCAGAGGGAGTCTGGGGTAAAGCTGACTCCTGCCCGCTGTCGATCTCGTAGGAAAAGCTCTGGGGAAGAGAAAACAGTGCCACTCATCGCTCTCACATTAACAGGCATTAAACTGCAGGTCGAACCAAGCGTCATGGCTCAGCCACATTGTGCTACAGCCACCACTGCACTTGAGAACAGAGGGTGCAACCAGGTGCTATATCACCCTGCCTCTCACAACTGCCAGCCCACTGAGGTTGCCTGGCTGGTACCTGGATGGGAGACCTCTTGGGAAAGCTAAGGTTGCAGCTGGAAGAGGTGTTAGTGGGACCAGTTAGTCCCAGTTAGTGGGACCAGACCCCTGCGGTCTGTGTGTGTTCTAATTCCCCAGTTTAGTGACGGGGACACTAGACTGTTAACAAGGCCACCTTCCTGTGTATGAGATATAAAACTGCCGTCCCGAGTCTCTGAGTCTCTCTCAGTGCAGGAAGCTGGGTGTTAGTGGACTGCCAGCGGCTCTCTATGCGATGTGACAGCAGACCCACCAGGTCGTCTTCGCCCTCCATGTTCATGTACATTTGCTCGCACGCGTTCACCTGGAGGAGGAAGAGAAGAAGGGGCGAAGGTCAGTGTCAGCCGGGCATCTTACCCAGAGGAACGCCAGCAGGGTCTCTGGCGGGACGAATGCCAGGAAAGGGGGGTTCTGGTGACCTCTAACAAAAGCGGTGGCCATCCTGATAAAACTGGGAAGGAAGCGCTGGCCCTTGACACACGAATCAGGGTGAATTTCAGAATGCCAGGGGCCCCTGGTGTCTGCATCGGTGCTTCAAACCCCCACCAACCCTCCGCCAGCTCATCCATGGAGACCCTCCGCAAGGAGGCTCTCTGACCTTGATGCGACCGGTTGGGAGCAGGAAGGGTTCATTTTGATCAATGAAGACATTTCGAGATCCTTCGGAAAGGAAATCCCAACACCTCTCTAACCCTGATTCTTGACTCAACTTGACCCATCAACTTACTCAACAGAACTCAGACAGACTCTTCAGAGTCTGCAAATTGAGGATTTAAGGGCAACCTCTAAGTCTTGTTGGATTACGGCTCTCCAGAAACAGACCAGGACCTCCCTATCTTAACGAGGTTAAATAATAATAGTAATAATCATAAAAAACTTTATTTTATATAGCGCCTTTAGAAGTTGGCTTCTCAAGGCGCTTTACAGAATGAGATATAGGACAGGAAACAAGCAGAAGAAAAGAGAGAGAGAGAGGGACCACTCCTATAACAGGCAGAGCTGGTTCGGCCACAGACGACAGGTGACACTGAAATGTAAGTGATTTGGGTGATGAAAAGGTTCTGAAATACCATTGGACAGCATTCCAGACGGTGCAAAGACTCCACTGCTGATCTTACAGGGCATCAACAACCACATCGACTGTAACACCGATGACAATGACGATGGACATGGTAATGATGATAATGGTGATTGTATTATCGGCTCTACAGAGGCACTAGTGGCATAAAATGTAGATTAGATGAAAATGCAAGAAACAACCGTGCAGGGACAGTCAGGGGAAGATCAAACCAAGTCAACAAAGCAACAACAGGACGACCACAGGCTGGAAGACCAAAATAAGGGCCATGCAGATAAAATGCAATAGTAACACCTACAACAGTGTACACATCCCCAGTGGCATGTACTGTATTTCACGATTAGACTGAGCACATAACCCAATCGGAACAGTTTCTGAAAATATAACTGAATCTAACAATGGAAGGACCTTCTTACATTGGCAATCTGTCAAACTGGGCCAGTGCATGTTCTCGAATGTCATTTCAGGAAGGAGCTACACAGCTGCCCCTTGCTGAAGTATGAGAGGAATGAGCTGTAAGTCTGTCATCGAAGACCTTTGAGAAGCTCTCCAGTGTTCAAGAGAATGGTAAACAGAGGGCTTTGGGGGGTTTTTCTCCCCAAACCGGTTTTTGTTTTCGCAGCGCTGCTTCCAGAATGTGAGCAAAGCGCTAGCGTGGCCCCGCTTGTGAGCTATGAAGAGAATGAGGCAGGAGCGCTGAATTCTGGGAATGCAGTAGTAGAGAATATGGCCTCGGGCGAAAGTTAGAAAACAGCAGGAAGACACGCGAGGGTGAGAATCTGTGATGGCGGTATTCGCCTGCGATATGGGCTCTCCTTCCAAAGCTCTGCGCCTCTGTGACCTCTGCTCTTTCGATGCAACAGAGCTCTGAACAGGAGGAACCGTAGAGTACTGGTAAGTTTTCTATACCTCTCCCTAAAGAGAGGGCTGTGGTCCTCTGCCCACGCTGCAGCGGGCACTGTACCAAGACCCCGATACAGCCTGGGTGGGAGTCCCACAGGACCCCCCTGCACAGCTCCACTGTATTCCATGCTTTAATGTAAATGAATTGGGGATTCCAGTACAAATCCAGCATGCTGAGCACAATATCATTTGTTCTATTGAAATATTACATTTGCTTAAAATAAAACAAGCGTAATAGGCAGAGCCCGACTTGACACCTGTAATCTGCACATTGGTGGTGGTAGTGGGATCCCCATTAACTGTAAAGCGCTTTGAGTGGAGTGTCTGAAAAGCACTATATAAGCGTAAGCAATTATTTTATTTTTATTATTATTATTATTATTATTATTATTATTATTATTATTATTATTATTATGGTTAGTAACTCAGTGCAACTGATATTTCTTCAGGGCTTGTGATATAATTCAGTCAATAAGCGACTGAGCAGAAGTAAAACAGAAGTACGAATCAAAGGGTCCTTACCGTTGCTGTCTCAGCTCAGGTGTCAGGGCTGTGGGGAACAGCTCTCTGTCTGTCTCTGAGGGCTCACTGTCTCTTCCCTGTTTTCCTCTGGGGTCAAGCCGTCTTTCAGTTTTCCCTTCCTTTGTGCTCTGGTCTTTTCCCCTTTTCCTTTTTATCTGACCTGTTTCCTTCTTTCCCCTGTTCTTTTAGGTGCTCTCCAGCATCTGCGCTCATGGGCCGGAGGTGTCTGTGCACTGACACAGCAGGGACATAGGAAAGCTGTCTGACGATCCCGTTGAGACTGGATTCACACGTCTGTGGGCACCTGCTGTCATTCTGAAGAGTGATAATCGCTTAAGGCTGTTATCGTAAGTCATTCACCTATTTCCTCATGTTTGTGATATCTGCATATCTGGCTGCGATCTCAAGCCTGTAGAGACGCTTCCTGGACTGGGACCTTGGATAGTGTGTTGCTAAAGAAGTTACTGTTTGTTTTCAAAGGTGGAATAGGGGAGATTCCTCACCTCCCAAGGCTAATTTAATAATAATTGCTTATACTTATATAGCAGTTTTCTGGACACTCCACTCAAAGCACTTTACACGTAATGGGGAATCCCACTACCACCACCAGTGTGCGGCCCCACCCGGATGATGCTCCAGTACTCTCACCACACACCAGCTCTCAGTGGGGAGGAGAGCAGGCCATGGGGATTATTAGGAGGCCATGACTGGTAAAGACCAGGGGGAAATTTGACCAGGATGCCGGGGTAACACCCCTATTCTGTTAGAGAAACGCCCTGGGATTTTTAATGATCACAGAGAGTCAGGACATCGGTTTTACGTCTCATCCGATGGACAGCACCTATTTTATATTCTATTCACTATCCTATACTATAATAGTTCAGAATACTGGCGTATATTAATGGCAATCGAAACATGATCACCGTTTTCGTTATGCTGGGGGACGAAATATTTATGTTCCTGTTTTCACAGGGCATAAACGCACGTTCCCATTTTGTCCAACTGCGGCAACACCAGATTTGAGTGGTGATTCAGACGCTCTGAAAGGCTGGGACGATGCTGATCTGCCAGGCCGAGCCGGGCATCCTGTCGGGATCAACACGTCGTTTCCCAGGCCTGGTGCGAAGGCGGAGCCCGAGGTTGGATCCAGCGCTTCCTGTCACACGTCGCCGGCGCGGCCCAGCGCCCGAGCAGCGTCGCGGACGCACCTGCCATCGAGGCACGGATCCAGCTGGGACGCCTGGTGCTTGACAGTGTGACCCAGGAGGCCACTGCGAGCAAACTGGTCCAACCACCTGGAGTGAGCTCTAGCAACTTCCTGTTTTCTCAGCCCTTCAGAGGAGCTGAAGGCAATGTCTGAGCTGAGGGAGGCTGACCCAGATTCTCTGTAAGATCAGATCACTTAATTGGCCATATACAATTTCTTGTATTAGTAATATGTCTTTTCGTATGTCTCTCCATGAGACACACAGACAGGGAGGGGAGAGAGAAGCTTGGGGTCAGAGCGCAGGATCAGCCATTATACAGCACCCCTGGAGCAGTTGGGGTTAAGGGCCTTGCTCAGGGGCCCAAATGGAGTAGGATTCCTCTGCTGGCAGCGGGATACAAACCAGCAACCTTCCAGCCACAGGCGCAGATCCTGAGCCACAGAGCTGCCCCACCATCATAATTAGTCAGGAGTACAGGACGCATGACTGGGAGCATATGATCGCTCTCCACCACTCAGCTGAACCTGACCTTTTCAACATGGTCTTTTGGGGGAGGAAACCAGGAGCACCTGGAGAAGGTTTATGCTACTACAGGAAGAACATGAAAATTCCATGATGAGAAGAATTCCTTACACTTATATAGCGCTTTTGAGGACACTCCACTCAAAGCTCTTTACAAGTAATGGGGAATCCCACTACCGCCACATAATCATAATAATAATAAGAAGGAGAATACCATTATATAGCCCTTTTCTGGACACTCCACTCAAAGCACTTTACAGGAAATGGGGAATCCCACTACCGCCACCAGTGTGCAGCCCCACCTGGATGATGCTCCAGTACTCTCACCACACACCAGCTCTCAGTGGGGAGGAGAGTAGAGTGATGAAGCCGGTTCAGAGAGGGGGATTATTAGGAGGCCATGATTGGTAAAGACCTGGGGAAAATGTGGCCAGGACACTGGGGTAACACCCCTACTCTTTTCAAGAAACACCCTGAGATTTTTAATGACCACAGAGAGCCAGGACCTCGGTTTTACGTCTCATCTGAAGGACAGCGCCTGTTTACAGTCTAGTGTCCCCATCACTATACTGGGGCATTGGGACCCACAGAGACCACAGGGTGAGCGCCCCCTACTGGCCCCACTAACACCTTTTCCAGCAGCAGCCTCAGCTTTCCCAGGAGTCTCCCATCCAGGTATTGACCAGGCTCACACCTGCTGAGCTTCAGTGGGGCTGCCAGCTGTGAGCTGCAGGGGGATATGGCTGCTGGCTGCTTATGCAGTGGAACCTGAATATATCCAATTTATGTAATCTGCCACTTTCTCCTACACCTCTGCTCCCTCTCTTGTTTCTGCTTACAGCTGAAGGGGGCTGCACATTGCGTGCTTGAGCTCAGGAATTAATCTCTTCTTGTTTGTGTGTTTAAGCATTATAGAGGCTGTGAAGCAGACTGCCCCCTGCTGATAAACAAATATTACCGAGATACTGACCAATTGCAAACCTTTGTGTGGCTGTATTGCCTGTTGTCTAGAAGATGACAATAGTGTGTCCACAGAATCACTCACTTCTGCATAGTTTGCTTCATCAAATTCAGTGTTTCTATTTAATATTTATAGTTCCCATTTTTGTTACCTGCTTGCATCACTTGGCATTTATCTGGATTAAATGTCATCTGCCAGCTATTTGCACAGCTTTCAGTCCTGTCTAGACTATATTGGATTTCTTTTGAGATTTCTACAGTATCTGCTTATCCTCCTGTTTTGATATTATCTGTAGACATGATGGGTTTATATCAGGTATCTGAATGTTATCTGAATGTTAATGGTATCTGTCTATGTTAATTCATATTATCCTCGCCGTGACTGGTACTCTGCCAAACAAACAAAATCCAAGTTTCAAATTCTTTTTACAATCTCAGGATACTGTATGATCACAGCTCTCTTATGGTTCGTCAACTCTGGCTTGAGAAGTTTAAAAATCCTAGATCAATATCGTGCTCTGACTGAGCAATGAATGAGCCATTACCAAGGCCTGCCATTACAGTGTCAGCTACTGACCTTCTTGACATTTCCTGTCTATGAGAGCAAATTTAAAAATGTTTCATGACTATTACTTCTTCCATTGCACATATGTCTCTGATTTTATTATAGGAGTGCATTGTAATAAATATCTAAATTTGGAAGTGTGTACCATATTCCTGATAGTTTGCCATGATCATTTTTTTTATCAACATAGACTCAGAGACCTGTGATTCATGTCGGTTGAGGTTCTGTGCACTTTCTGATATGTAGTGCTACACCTCCCTTCAATCTTTTCTACGTGTTTGGAATCCTGCACATCCCAAAAGGTGCACTCATCACCCTTGGTTATGTTTTAAAATATTATTTGAAACAAAAGTTTGAACATTTCAGCTCTTAACAATTGCTGGATTAGACTGAATACCGGGATGGGCTTTAAATGGACAAAACGTCTAAACACCAGAAAGGATGATAAACCAAAGCTTTTACCACACGTTTTTAATCACAGTATAGATTGATACTGAGCTGTCATGTTAGAATATATAGGTTTAATGGAATAAAACCCTTGCAAGTGAGTAAAGAGCGTGCAAACTCCACACAGACAGGCACTCCTCCCTTGAGTCGAACCTAGGACCGTGGAGCTGTGAGGCAGCACCACACCAGAGTAGCAGGGGGAAGATCTACCATATGCAAAAACTAACATTGTAGCAAGGGAGACATGAATAATAAAAAGAGTAAAGGACAATAAGGCAACAGTCTCATCTTATAAACTGAGACCTCCTATATAGACGTTACAGCTCTCCAGGTTGTACTGAATTCCACACAGCTCATCTTGTACCGACTTCATTTCTCCCGCCACATCGGAGACGAGGATCACCAGGTTCATCATGGAGTTTTCCTTGATCTTGTCTGAAGACGTGAAGTATCGCGCCAAGCGGCTGGGGAAACGGTTCAGCTTCTCCTCTGCCTTCCGGGAGGACTCCAGCGCGCCGGCAACTCTGCCGGTCAATGGGATAACCAGGGATGCGCGGCTGTCGTCCTGCCCTCTGGCCTGCCCCTTGGGAGTAGAGTAGTGGCACTTCTTGAGATGCTCCATCTTCCTGCGGAGGTACTGCAGGGCGTACGTGACGTCCATCAGCTCCTGCAGAAAAGCGCCGACCACAGTTTCCAACTGTCTGCGATCAAGGGGGACACTTCTCTGCCTGGCTGCTGAGACTTCAGGGATCACCATCTCTATGCTCTTCATTAAGGTCCCGGTTGCACCTTGGGAGATCAGGACCCATGCTAACTCAGCGAAGCTGTTCTTCCCCTTGGATGAGCGCTCTGTGGCTGCCATATTGGAGGCGATGGCGAAGTGTTGGTGAAATTCCATCAGGATTATCTCAGTGTTCCGGAGCTGGTCCAGACACTTCTGCATGGCTGGACGGTGTGTTGAGTAGACGTTGATGTATCGCTGGATTTCATACAATGCTTCAGCTAATTTGTGGGCATAATTCCTGTAACAGGAATAGGAGAAGGACAGGGGTGGTGGTGGGGGTGAGGCAGGTGGGAGGGGCAGAAATAAAGTTTCTGAAAACATTTTGGAGGAAACTTCGAATAACAGGGGTAAGAACCAAAGAGTGGAACCAAAATATACGTCTACACATTTCAGCAGTTCCATAGATATTACTCAGCATATAAAATATTTCTGATAATTAAGATGTAGGAAACCAAATCGATTAGTGAATAACATGGATAGTGCATGCCAATGGCCAACGTCTTTTATCTGTTTTGATATATTTTAGTGAGCTGTGGCAGGTCACACCAGGCCTATTCAGGAATCCACAGTTGTGTAAGAAAGAAGTCTCCTGTTGTCTTTAATTATTTGAATTGTAAAGCTCACCTGGCCTCTTGCCCTTGGCTTTGAATGCTCATGGAGGAGCAGTTTGATCTTTTCTCTTTGCGGGTCACCATGCAGTCTTCCTCCTGAAAACACACACAACAGACTGACTGTCTCAGAGTGAACAGCAAGCAGTGTGTCAGATGTCAGTTCCCAGGATCAATCGCACCTCTGGGAGCACCTTGTCCAGAGACAGTCAGAACCCAGAATGATTTGTACTTTTGTTGTGACGTAAGGGTTTCCTGTAAATCATCTGCCTTTTCCCTTAAAGAAATAAGGGAAACTGAACAAGGACTCTAACAGAGCACAGATCTAAGGGCAGAGTCAAGTGTCAGACAGCGAAGAGCCAGGAGATTACATCAGGAGATTATGTAAATGATGTAAATACAAAACAAAGTCAGCTAACACCAAAGAAAAAGACAGACAGACCGATACACACACACACACTTTGTGTAAAAGCACAATAAAATTGAAATAGAGGCCAGGAGAGCACCACTCTGAGAACAGAACAACACTCAGAAAACCACAGCGCGAGTGTCAGAGGAGGGCACAGAGGAAGAAAGTAGAAGATAAGAGATACGCAGCCAAGCACACTGATTAGCTTCAGTACCTTGGGCAGAACAGTGCCAGGACAGGGAGGAAAGACAGAGACACAAACTGGGAGACGGACCAGAACAGGGACACACGCTCAACAGATAAGCCTATTCCAGAGCATCCCTGGCCTTTACCTATCATGGCCTCCTCATAATCCCTTTCTCTGAA